AGAGCAGTATTGCCGCTAGCATGTCTCACCTCCAGCCCTAAGGTGATTTTCTCCTATCTCAGTAAATAGAACATACAGTCGGGTTTCACACCAAGACATTCTATTCCCAGGGAGGAGCAGGAGACGGATGCCTTCCTCTTATCTCAACTGCAAAGGGGCCTTCCTCTTCTACTTCCTCAGCACAGACCCTTTATGGGGGTGTCGGGCTGGGGGAAGGTCAGGTCTCTCCCTTCCCCAGAGACCATATCTCAGGCTATCACTTGGGAAGAAACCCTGGACAATACCTGGCTTTCCTAGGCAGAGGTCCCTGCGGCCTTCCGCAGTGTATTGTGTCCCTGGGTACTTGAGATTAGAGAATGGTGATGATTTTCCCCACAAGATCCCGTCTGTAAAATAAAAAATAAAAATAAATAAATTTTAACAAACGGGCTCACACCCTCACTGCACAGGGCCATTGTGGGGTGAAGGTGAAGGTCAGAAGGCAGCGTGTGCCAGCCAAGCCTTCCTCTTCCTCCCACCTTCAGCTGGGGACAACTGTCATTTATCAGAGCATTGCCTGTGGGGCCCTTACCTGGGATGCGTGAGGACAACAGCACACACTGTCTTTGATTAGGATGTTGTCTTTGTGGTTAATATGGTTTAAAACCTCTGGGCTGTTTTATCCCACAGTGGGATCCTATGAAGCTTGTTGCCATCTAAAATCAGGTAATTTCAGGCTGGGCACAGTGGCTCATGCCTATAATCCCAGCATTTTAGGAGGCCGAGGTGAGTGGATCATTTGAGGTCAGGAGTTCGAGACCAGCCTGGACAACATGGTGAAACCCCACCTCTACTAAAAATACAAAAATTAGCCTGATATGGTTGTGGGCACCTGTAGTCCCAGCTACTCGGGAGGCTGAGGCAGGAGAATTGCTTGAACTTGGGAGGTGGAGGTTGCAGTGAACCAAGATCGTACCACTGCACTCCAGCCTGGGTGACAGAGCAAGCGAGACTCTGTCTCAAAATAAATAAATAAATAATAAAATCAGGTAATATCAGATGAGATGATGGTGCGAGATGGGGGGATTTAGAGCAACAAAACACCAATGAGGTCTTTGAAACTCACTCATTTTTTCATTTACTCAACAAATACTTACATAGCCCCTTCTATGTATAGGCCACTGTTCTAGCCTCTAGAGATCTAGAGTGAATACAATGGACAAAGGTCAGCACTTGTCTTGAGTAGGGAAAGACAGGCAATAAACATGCACAGACAAGACAAAGACTAAGGCAGGTGAGTGAGAGTGAATAGGGAAAGGAGATGAGGTTTGAGCTGGCAGAGGCTGATGAGAAGGATCCAGGAGAAGAAGGAACAGTCCTGAGGAAGGGAAAGGCTTGTAGGAGGCCATGGGTGTTGAACCAGGAAGTTCGTGGCAGAGGTCAGAGAGTAAGACAGGGCCCAGAGGACATGGCGCTTTGCAAGGCAATTTACGGATCCTCAAGTGCAATGGGAAGCCATCATAACATTTTATATATTTGTTTATTTATTTGTTTTTAGAGCTAGAGTCTCACTCTGTCGCCTGTGCTGCAGTGCAGTGGCATGATCATAACTCACTGCAGCCTTGACCTCCTGGGCTCAAGCGATCCCCTTGCCTCAGCCTCCTAAATTGGGACTACAGGTGTGCACCAGCACGCCTGGCTAATTTTCTCACATTTTGTAGAGATGGGGTTTCACCATGTTGCCCGGGCCGATCTTGAACTCCTGGCTTCAAATGATGCTACCAGTTTGGCTTCCTAAGGTGCTAGGATTGCCGGTGTAAGCCACTGTGCCTGACCTGCTAATTGGCTCTATCCAGAAAACAAACCTCTCATATCTTTATGACAGGAGGTAATTTTGCAACTTGGACAGACATGCCCACGGGAAGTTAGGCTTCTTCCCTCTCACAGGAATTAGAATTTGGGGGTGCATTTCAAAGAGATGACACCCCAGCCCTTGAGAAACACGTCTGGCTCGTAAAGCTGACAAGAGTCTTATTTATTATAGCTCCTGAAAAGACTTACACACATTTCAAAGAGACAGAACTTATAATGACATGTTTTCCAAAGTAGGTGCTCTAAAACAAAGGAGGGGAGAGAAATCTCTTATTTTCAACAGAGAGAATTAAGGCTCTTTTTTCTATTTTTTGAGACAGAGTCTTGTTCTGTTGCCCAGGCTGGAGTGCAGTCGTATCAACACAGCTCACTGCAGCCTCAAACTCCCGGGCTTAAGCGATCCTCCCACCTCAGCCTCCGAAGTAGCTGGGACCACAGGCATGTACCACCATGACCAGCTAATTTTCTTATATTTGTAAAATATAAGATGGCGTCTCTCTCTCTGTTGCCCAGGCTGGTCTTGAACTCCTGGATTTAAGTGATCCTCCTGCCTTGGCCCCCCAAAGCACTGGGATTAGAGGCATGCGCCACTGTGTCTGGCATGCCTCTTATTTTTGCATTTTTAACTTTGCCCTAACGGAGATTTTTGTATTGGGAATATCATCTGGGTGCACAGTGAAGAATGAAGCACAGGGAAGCGAGAGTGGAGGAAAGAAGGCCACTTAGGAGGCATTTGCTGGTGCTCAGGCCAGGGGCGTGCGGGTGAAAATGCAGAGTTGGACACGTTTTTGTGACAGTTGAAGGTGTTCCCCTGGGGGCTTGCGGAAGTCTTGGACATGAAGGAAAGCCGGGGAGTAAAGGCTGACTCCTAGGTTTTGGCATCAGCCACTCTGCAGGGTGACACGCATTGGGAAAGAATGGCTTAGGCCAGGCATGGTGGATCACGCCTATAATCCCAACACTTTGAGAGGCCGAGGCAGGCGGATCACGAGGTCAGGAGTTTGAGACCAGCCTGGTCAATATGGTGAAACCCCGTCTCTAGTAAAAATATAAAAATTAGTTGGGCATGCTGGCACGCTCCTGTAGTCCCAGCTACTCGGGAGGCTGAGGCAGAAGAATCGCTTGAAACTGGGAGGCAGAGGTTGCAGTGAGCCGAGATCGCGCCACTGCACTCCAGCCTGGGCGACAGAGAGAGACTCTGCCTCAAAAAAAAAAAAAAAAAAAAAAAAAAGTGGCTTAGAGGGGAAAATCAAGAGTTCTCTTTTGGGCATGGAAGTGTTAATTTCCTATTGAGACTCCAAGTTCACAGGTCAAGTTGGTTGTCGGTTGTCGGATATATGAGTCAGGAGCTCAAGGTCAGGAGGGATGGAGACTAACTTGGGAACACAAGCTGGTGAGGAAGGAGAACTGGAGCTTGTAGGGTCCAGCAACCCGGAGAACAGAGTGCTGGAGGGAGGGTGGGGTCGGATGGAAGGAGGTGGCAGGGCAGTGGAGATACCCAAAGTGGCTGTGAGACCCTGGGGATCTGCCCACACGAGATTGTGCCTGCCTGGTCAAGAGCCAGGGGTTCCCCATAGGACAGAGGTGAGGGAGGGTCACCTGGGCAAGCGGAAGTGAGTGGGGGCAGGAAGCGCTGTTTGAGAACACCCATTCAGATGAGTCTTGCTGAGAAGGAGCGTAGAGGGATGAGGCAGTCGCCGCAGGGGGAGTCGGTTAGGAGAAAATATTATTTTGTTTTGTTCTTGGCTTTGGGTTTTAAAATTTTTTTAGAAACAGAGTCTCACTCTGGCACCCAGACTGGAGTGCAGTGGCACCTCATAACTCACTACAACCTCGAACTCCTGGGCTCAAGTGATCCTCCTGCCTCAGCCTCTCTAGCAGCTGAGACTACAGGCACACACCATCGCACCCAGCTAATTTTTTATTTTTAGTAGAGACAGGGTCTCTATTGCCTAGGCTGGTATTGAACTCCCGGACTGAAGGGATCCTCCCACTTTGACCTCCCAAAGTACTGGGATTATAGGCATGAGCCACCACTCCCAGCCAAGATTTAGTTCGGCTCAATTCTCTGGGTATACTATAAGTCACAGGTCCACGCGGGAAACATCCAAACTAAACAAGACAAAAGTTTCCTCTCTGCCCCTGCTCCCACCCCTTCGCTGGAGGGAAGGAAGCACAGGTAACAGTTAACGACTTTTCTCGTTGCATTTGGGGTCTGGGGGACTTGGAATAAGGCGCAAGACACTAGAGAATAGGAATGGTCCAGGACAGAAGGGAAGACTGAAGACGCAGGGGAGAGAGGAAGGTCAGGAGTGGGAAGGGGGTGGTGGTGGCAGGGCACGGACCACGTGGAGGGTAGGCTTTTATTGGGAGCAGCCAAGTGGCCGGCGGCAGGCGAGGGTCCCAGGCGGAGCCGGGCACACCTGGTGGTGACAGCACAAAACTCTATGTTTTCACAAGGAAATCTCAGCAAAAGCTGGGAGGGTTTTGCTGCATGATACCAGGAGAATCTGTGTAGAGGACCCAGAGGGACCGGCCCAGCCTCAGCAGGTCTCCCCCAGCAGCCTCCCCTTACCTGCCAGGCCCAGGCTGGGAAGCTTCCTGGCTCTGGGTCTCACCAGCCCCCAGAACACCCAGCTCAGACTCGCCTTGCCGGACCCTGTCCTCGCTTCTCTGGCCTCTGGGATGGGACTCTGGGCCAGCTGCTGTCCGACGCCACGCCGTGGAGGCACCGTGGGTGCCGGTGCTGCCTGGCCTCGGGTCCTTTGCCCCATGAGCAGCACTATGCCATAACCAAGGCGTTTTGTGTTGACTACTGCATCGTCTCACAAAGTGACCCCTGCCCGAGATAGTGAAGCTAGTCTGGGAAGAGCGAGCATCAGCTCTCCGTATCTGAACCACTGTGCCGACAAGGCTCGGCCTCCTCAGGCTCTCCTTGGCCGAACACACCAGAGATGGAGCTGACCTCCCCAAGGCTAAAAGGAAGATGAGTGTCACCCTGCCACTGTACATGGCCTCCTGGCACAAGGCCCCACCAGCTGATGAGAGGCCTTTGCTGGCACATCAGTGACCACGCTGCGTGGGGCAGTGGGATCAGGCAGGACAGGTCGGTGGGTTCAGTGCTGCATAAGAAGCGCCATATGCCTGCATTTGCTGAGTTAGAAAATTGTATTCATCTCTTTATTGGTCTAGAATGGGGTGGGGACTTGGAGTGGTGAGGCCCGGGCCCATGGGGGAGTGGGGTGTGCACAGGACAGCAGGTCAGCAGAGGAGCGGGGCTGGGCTGGGGCTGCAGGAGTGACTCTCCCAGGGCCAGGAGAGCCAGCGAGGGTGGTCCGCACTCCAATGGGACACAGTGTGGCCAGGCCAGGCGGAGCAGCCCCTCCTCAGTGCCAGGTCATCTGTGAAAGGGACACGGAGCAGGCAGTGATCCCCAGGCCCTGGTCCCACGCAGCCTGGTCTCCCCCGACCCATAGCCCCTTCCCCCTCTCACCTTGGCCGGGCTCGGCGGGTATCTGACTTTCAGGGCTTCATCATTCATCAGAGACCTCACCAGGCAAGAGCGGCGGTGAGAGAAGGTCTCAAAGCTCTTCTTGCCGTGGTAGGACCCCATGCCACTGTTCCCTGCGGAGGAGAAGTCGGTTCAGGGCTCAGCATCCTGCCCCCAGGATGCCCCAGGCTTCCCTCTCCACCTTGTTGGGTGTATCCCAGAACCACAGGGACAGAGAGGCAGAGCCCCAGCCATCATCACCCATCCTTCCCTCAAATCCTGGGGCCCTCAGCACCCAGCCCCAGGTTGTGGCCCTTTTCTGGGCCTCCTGAAGGTGGCCAATGTCCAGGGTGTCCCCAGGGCATCCACGCTGGGGACAACAGTGGGAGTGCCCAGCAAGGGTCTAATCCCAGGTCTGCCACTAAATGGCTGTGTGACCTTTGGCCTGGGTCACCTTTCTCAGGCCTCCATGAAACAGGCTGGTGCACCAGGTGACCTCTAGGACCCTCTAGACTCCCAGGTTAAGTGTGTCTGACGGATGGCAGGCAGAGGCCAAGGCCCAAATGGAAGAGGTTAGCAGGAAGCTGCGGCCTGGGCCACAGGAGGCGGCCCCTCCTGAATTTGCTGGGTGAGGGTGCCCAACCCTGGGGGCCCCAGAGGGAGGCAGGGAGGCAGCAAGCTCAGCCCCAGACTCACCCACTCCCCCGAAGGGCAGAGAGTGCAAGGTGATGTGGACGATGACATCGTTGGCCGTCACCCCACCGCTGGATGTCTCTGCAATCATCTTCTTAATCACCTGCACCAGGACCCAGCCACTGACCTCAGTCTCCTGTCCACAGGATGCCACAGCCGCCCACCCCACCCTGCCTGGGTACAGCCTGGAGCCACAGGGACAGGAGCAGGTGGAGGCAGAGCCCTAGCCGCCGTCTCCCGCTCTTCCCGAAGACCGCGTGGCCCTCAGCACCACACGAGCAAAGAGCGACAGCAGCCGCCCCCACGCCTGTGTGCAGGGCCCTGGGCAAGGATCGCTCATTCAATGCCCTCAGGTGATGCTGCTGTCCTGATCTTAGAGACGAGGTGAAAGGAGCTCAGAAAGATCCAGTGACTTGCCGAAGGTCACACAGCCAGAGAACAGTGAAGCTGCAGTTTGAACCCAGGTCTGTGGGCCCCAGGACCCTGGAGGAGGGCACCCCAGGCCCACTGCCCACCTTGTCGTTGCTGGAGAACACGTAGAGGGCCAGGGGCTTCTCGCGCTGGTTGATGAACTGGATGGCCTCCTCCAGGCTGCGCACGCACACGATGGGCAGCACAGGCCCGAAGATCTCCTCCTGCATCACCGGGGACTGGGGGTCCACGTCCGTGAGGATGGTGGGGGCTGAGGCAGGAAACGAGCCAGAGTTGGATGGCACAGAGACCCCCACGCGGTTGGAAAGTGCAAGCACCTAGACCCAACCTATTCCAGGCGAAGCTGCCCAGGCTTGGAAAAGGGCAGGGACGAGGCCCCAGAGAGGTGCCCCAGGCACCTGTGTCCCGGGTGCCATCTGGGCAGACCACTGGGGACAACTACAGGTTAACCTGTATGGAAGGACCCGAGATCTGTCTCCAGGAGCAGGCACTGCACCCGCCGGCCACCCGATGCCCTGCCAGAATTCTCTTGTCTCCTTGACAAACTCGGGGCCAAGTGGGCCCCATGTGGTGACCCACAGCCTGGGCACTGGGGGCCCCTCACGGCTTGGCACACCTGGGGCTCCTATGGCCTCTGCTGTCCCTGCTCCTGCTGCTACAGAGGGGCGGGGAGATGAGACCCCTCTTTCTGGGCCTTTGTTGGGAGAGGGGATTCTGAGGCTGGAGCAGGGGCTGTCCTCAGCCCCTGCCTGCTAGAGTCTACCCCAGGCTCCCTGGTGAAAGCAGTTTATACCCAACCCGAGGTCATGTCTGCTTATCAAGTATCTGTGCCCACTTGCTGTGAACTTGCTGGGGACCCCTGCGGCCTGGGCAGGTGGGCTGTGCCCTTCAGGGGTCACGCACCTATGTAGCGAGTGGCTGCATCCCCGGTGCCCCCGTAAGCCACCTTCTGGCCCTCAATCAGGCCCATCACCCTCTGGAAGTGCCGCGCACTAATGATTCTTCCATAGTCCCGGGACTTCTTGGCATCTTCCCCATAGAACTCCTGTGGAGAAGAGGTGGGGGCTTCGGGTGAGGACGCAGACCCTCGACATGGCCAAAAGCTGCACAGACACAGGCCAGCAGTGGCTGTCTTTGGGTGGTGGGATTCTGGGTGGAGATTTTTCTTCTTCTTTATGCTTTTTAATCTTTTCCAAATTATCTCTAGTGAGTGTGCATTACCTTTTTTTTTTTTTTCTCTTAGAGACAGGGTCTTGCTCTGTTGCCCAGGCTGGAGTGCAGTGGTGCAATCATAGCTCACTGCCGCCTTGAACTCCTGGACCCAACCAATCCTCCAGCCTCACCGCAGCCTTCCAAGTAGCTGAGACAACAGGCATGCACCACCCATCCACCATGGTTGGCTAATTTAAAAACATTTTTTGCAAAGACGGGATCTTGCCATGTTGCCCAGACTGGTCTCAAACTTCTGGCCTCAAGTGATCCTCCAGCCTCCACCTCCCAAAGTGCGGGATTATGGGTGTGAGCCACCATGCCTAGCTTGCATTATATTTATATTAGAAGAAAATAAATCCACTGTTTCCAAATCCCTAGAAGTTAGTTAAGGGGCCAGGCCCACCTTGTGATGGGAGGCTTCCCATCCCACCCCGCCAAGGGTCCCATACTCACTTTCAGTGACTTCTTGAGTTTCTCCACAATTTGGTTCTGGATCGAGGGGTCACAGAGGATGTAGTCGGGGGCCACGCAGGTCTGGCCACTGTTCATGAATTTCCCCCAGGCGATGCGTCTGTGAAAGTCCCAGACTGGACTAAATCCAAAAGGTTCCCCAAGAGCTGCACCTCGTTTTGCAGACCCTTGAGCTCTCTGGTCAGCAGAAGCCATCGGCTGTGACCTTGCCACCAGTGAGTCCTCCCAAGCGGTCTGCTTACTTCTAGACACTGGACCAGGAAGACCCAATGCCCCTGATTGTGTTCACCGGGGACTGGTAGGGAATTTCTAGAGGACGTCTGTTGGGGGCAGCCTCCGTGCTCCCTGATCACGCCCTTGCCCTGCACAGCCAGATGTCACTGCTACTCAGGCTCCCCTACATCTCTGGGGGCCACAGATGTGGGATAGGGAGGTGGCCAGAGCCCTGGCTAGGGTCGGGAGGTGCAGATACGGGATCTTCCCCAGACCCCGAGTGGCGGTGGCTCTTCTCCCCTCTGGGCCTGCTCTCCAGAACTCAGATTGCCCTGCCCCAGCGGAGGGCTGGACCCAGTACAGTTCCTTGTGTCCTGAACATCCCCCAGTTGCTTTTTCTGCAGCCTCTGTTTGGAGTACCACTTCCCCAGTGATGCCCACTCAGCGAACAGAGCTCAGCCTGGACCTCTCCCCCTCCAGGAAGCCTTCTGGGACTCCCCACGCGTCTTCTGTGCACGTGGTCCCCACCCCTATCCCCATGTGAGTTTCTGCCAGGACCACTGCTCCGTGAGGCAGGGGGTGTCTGTGCTACTCAGAGTGGACCCACAGCGTGAGGTGCAGTCATGTGTGCTGGAAGGCAGAGTAAGGGCCGCCGCAGCCAGCAGGCCGGAGCCTCTCACCGGCAGGCCACGTCCAGGCCACAGTTCTTGTCCACGTAGCAGGGGCTCTTCCCTCCCAGCTCCAGCGTGACAGGGGTCAGGTGCTGAGCAGCAGCCGTCATGACGATCTTCCCCACGCCCGTGCTGCCCGTGTACAGGATGTGGTCGAACCTCTCCTTGAGCAGCTCCGTGGTCTCAGGGACACCCCCATTGATGACTGGGTACAGATCCTTCCAAGCAAGGAGAGAGGGGGTGCTCAGCGAACACCAAGCCCTTCCTCGCTCTCACAAGTGTAGATGGGCAGTGGCTGAGACCAGCAGCCCCGAAGCCCAGCACCCCACCTTGGGGGCAGGGGATGGCAACTGGCAGTAGACCCCCTTTCCTGGCCCAGGGGCTCTGTTCACCCCAATGAGAGAAGGCAGCTGCTAAGGACCATCCTCAGCGCCACCAGCTTGGTCCCTTGCTGCAAGAATTCACTATTTCTCATCCCCCAAATACCTGGCCCCAGCTGAGTTATGAGGCCATGGAGTTATGAGGCCCCGGAGGGCACCTCACCTTGTCCAGGTACTGGGGAATGATGGTAGCCAGCAGGCTCGCCATGTTCTCACTCAGCTCCGAGGGCTTGAGGACCACCGCGTTCCCTGCAGAGCACACAGAGCCAGGCCTATGCCCAGGGTACCTCACCCAGAGGCTCTGCCCTCCCAAGGACCACACCTGAAGCCTCCCCTCCATCATGTGTCCTCGGAAGAGTGGATGGGAGAGTTATTGGCACACAAGCACATGCCACGGGGCACACCCAGGAGCACACACGGGCACATGACAGAGGGACACGCACAGGCACACGCTGGCCACAGTTGCACCACCTGGCCTTCTGAGTTGCTGAGATGTTGGAGGAAAAGCAGAAAGGGGAGAGAGGCTCTGGGGGCCTGGATGGTAGAACAGCGCTGGCCCCTTCTAGGAAGGAAGCCCTGGTGCATATTAGGTGACAGAAGCTCCAGCCCCCCCAAGGGTGGGGGAAGGCAGGCCCTCTCTCCATCATCAGGTGTGGACACCTGAGCCTGACTGGACCTCAGGCACCAAGAGGCCTGGCTAAAGAGCGTGGTCCCCACAGCCACCTGTGACAGACCCAACAAACCCTTATCTGACCCCAGGACTCTTCACACAGGCCTGAGCCCGTCCTGGCTCGGCTCCGTGGTGGTGGACGGTGCTCCCCCAGCTTCCCTTCCCACAGGGCCATGCACCTGCAGCGATGGCGCCCACCATGGGCTGGATGGTGAGGTTGAAGGGGTAGTTCCAGGTGCCGATGACAAGGACCACGCCCAGAGGCTCCGAGTGGATGTAGAGCTCATCCTGCTGAGTCTGGGGCGTCTTCTCCACGGGCTCATCCGCAGCCCACTCGGGGAGCTTCTGGATCACGTACTCTATCTCCTCCAGGACGTACACCACCTCCTCGTAGTAGGCATTCCATTCATTCTGCAGGGATAGAGCCCCTGTGAGCTTCCACGGCCAGGACCCGCCTGCAGCTGGGGCGAGTGAGGAGCCCCACTGCTCAGCTGCCAGGGTGATGGGGGCCGCTCACTCAGCCCAGGGTGGGGGCAGCCGCAGAAGGCCCCCAGGGGAAGCAGAGCCAGGATTACCCACTTGGACCTGTGGGTCTGAGAAGGCCCCTTTCTGCCAGAGGAGGGCCCAGGTAGGTTTGGATGTGTGGGGCCCCAGGGGAGAGAGCGTGAAGGGGCCAGGCACGGGCAAGGGGATGGATCCAGGTAGGGGGAATAGAGCTGGGCAGGGGAGAGTAGATCCAGGCAGTGGGGATGGATTCGGGGAGGCGGGGATGGATCTGGAGACGGGGGATAGATCCGGGCACTGGGAGATGGATCCGGGCAGGGTGGACGGAGACAGGCCCTTCAGATGTCTGGAGGGGGATGCAGGACCAAGGGCTGCTGGGCGCTCAGGGCCTCCTGCGGGGAGCAGGGGTGAGAAGAGGGGATGCAGACGGCGGAAAACGCGTCTCTTTTATAAACTTGGGCTGTGAAGAGCAACACAGAAGCTGTAAAGTCAACGGAGTGGCTTTCCTTATTGTTTCTGGTTTAAGATGAGAAGTCCTGGGCGATTTCTTTAGAAGTGCAGGAGCAGGCCTGGCGCTATGGCTCACGCCTGTAATCCCAGCACTTGGAGAGGCCGAGAACTCCTCCTGAGGAACTCCTGAGGTCAGGAGTTCAAGACCAGCCTGTCCAACATGGCGAAACCCCGTCTCTACTAAAAACACAAAATTAGCCGGGCATGGTGGTGCACGCCTGTAGTCCCAGCTACTTGGGAGGCTGAGGCAGGAGAATTGCCTGAAGCCGGGAGGCGGAGATTGCAGTGAGCCGAGATCGCGCCATTACACTCCAGCCTGGGTGACAGAGTGAGACTCCATCCCAAATAAATAAATGAAATACAATAAAAATAAAAGTGCAGGAGCAAAGAGGGTAGTCGGTGGGAGGATGGGCCCCGGAGCGCCGGACCCCAGGCAGGATGTGGGGACAGCAGGGGTCTGCAGATGCGGGGACGTCTGATCTTGCTCAGGGCGAGGGACGGAACAGCCCTTGTGAGGACTGGGGGCGAGGGACGGAACAGCCCTTGTGAGGACTGGGAGCGAGGGAAGAGCCTCCCATGGCCTCCGGGGTGCCAAGCTGCTCTGGTTCCTGGTGTGGAGAACCAGGTGGTCCTGCGTGGGGCTGAGGAATGGGGGGGGACCAAAAGTTCGGGGTGTCGGGGCAGCAGGAGGGTTGAAATGGGGGACGCTGCGGGCGGGACGCGGAGGCCGGGCCAGGAGGAAAAGGCCAGAGGGCGAAAGAGGCGGCGGGGAGTGGGAGGGGCGCGGGGCCCGGCGGCCCAGGTGGCCCCAAGTTCTTCCTGACCCTCTCCGGGCCGCACTGCCCCCAGTCCCCCGCCCCGCCGCGAGGCCCCGACACTGGCAGAGGGCGGCCGCCCAGCCTGAGCACCTTGTGCAGGTCTGCGGCCAGCGCGCCCACCAGCTCCTGCTCGCGCTCCTGGATCAGGCGCCGCAGCGCCTCCAGCTGCTGGATCCGGAACTGCAGCGGGCGGGTCCTCCCAGAGCTGAAGGCGGCGCGGGCGCGCTTCACGGCCTCGCTGATCTTGCTCATGGTGCCTGGGGACAGAGAGCACCTGCAGCTGGCGGAGGGGCACGAGCGCACCCCGCCTCCCACCCCGCCTGAATGCTATAGGAAGGGACTTCCCTGGGTCCGGGCTCGGCCTTGCGGAAAACGGCCTTCCCGCTGGAAGGTCCGCTTTCTGCCTGGCCTCCTCTCCCGCCCCTCACTCAGACACCGGGGCCCCTGGCTGCCTTGCTAGCCCCTGAGAAGGTGACACCCACAGCAACACGCGTCCTAAGCAGAACTGCTGCTGGGGGCTCTTGGCAGCGTGCTGGGGCAGGGCCTTTCCCGGCCTCTCCCGCTCCGATACTTGCTTGCAAAGCTGGTGGCACAGTCCCAGATCAACACCCCTAGGGCTCTGCACACACAGTCAGCCACTCTCCAGATCGGATTGGAGGGGCACACCCAAGCCGATAAAGGAAAACCCAGCACCACCCTCCTGGCTAAGCCATTGTTCTAAAAAGCGCTGGTTTCTTGGCAGAGCTGAACCAGGCTTGGTGTGTAAAGCCATGCGTGCCACACCTGGGAGACGCACGCCCATGACCACCGAGGATTCACAGAGCTGCAGATTTCCACAAAGAGGTGTGAAGGTGATTCCTGCTACCAATACACGAAACCATAGTGGCAAATTGGGATGGCCCTTCTGGGGGCAATTTGGCGATATGTGGCAAAAGTTTTTCAAACGTATTTCTCTGTGACAAAGAAGTCCTACAGCCTTTCCTAAACATTCACGAATAAGAAAGTCATCACTGTTTTCTATAGCAGGGAAATATTGGAAACACCCCAAAGGTCCGAAAGAGGAGACGGTTTAAATGACTCCTGTCACACCCACGTGAGGGATTACTGTGCAGTGTTTAGGGATTAGGTGGAGCAGGCTATTCAGAGCATGTTTGTAGGGGCTCTCTCTACACCAGGGGTGTCCCAGGCACTGAGGATAAGAAAGAAAACAGGTTACAGGCTGGGCGCGGTGGCTCACGCCTATAATCCTAGCAAACACTTTGGGAGGCTGAGGTGGGTGGGTCATCTGAGGTCAGAAGTTCAAAACCAGCCTGGCCAACATGGTGAAACTCCGTCTCTGCTAAAACTACAAAAATTAGCCAGGAGTGGTGGCAGGCGCCTATAGTCCCAGCTACTTGGGAGGCTGAGGCAGGAGAAGTGCTTGAACCAAGCCGGGAGGAGGAGGTTGCAGTGGGCTGAGATTGCGCCATTGTACTCCAGCATTTTGACCAGGAGAATGGAGTCATAATCACAGAGGTCTCCTATTAGATTAGTGGTAGGAGGTAAGGCAAGGTTAGTGAGATTTGCTAGAAGTCAAGAGGCTATCAGTGGAAGCGGTATTTGAATGCTTCGGGTAAGTAATATAATTACTTTTAGCGAGACTTCATCGAGAAAGAAAAGAAAAGAGAAAAGAAAAGAAAAGAAAAGAGGTTACGGAACAACTCCATCAAGAAAGAAAGAAAGGGGAGGGGAGGGCAGGGGAGGGGAGGGGAGGGGAGGGAAGGGGAGGGGAGGGGAGGGAAGGGAAGGGAAGGGGAGGGAAGGGAAGGAAAGGGAAGAGAAGGGAGTTATGGAATAACAGATGTACCAGGCGCGTGTGTGTGTGTGCGCGTGTGTGTGTGTGTTCTAACATGCAAGAAAGGACTAGAACGGTAGCCCCCAACGTGATGGGACAACTGATGGGGGTGAAATTATTGATGATCTGTTTTCCTCTTATGCAATGTTTGACTTTTTACGATGAGCTTGTTTTTTTTAAGTTTTGGTGCATTTTAAGATAGGCAATACATGCTCATGAAACAAAATGTAAAATATAGCAAACGGACACAGAAAAAGGTCCACTGCCCTCGTCCCTGCTCCATCAGCTGTCAGGTGCTGCCCCGCAGAGGGGCCACTGTTACCAGTTCCTGACTCCGCTTCCAGAGATACTCAGCCCACTTGCAGACCCGGCATAACTTTTAACATCAGCAGAAATAGGGTATCTCCATTTTTTAAAAAAAACCCTATATATCATAAGTAATATATAATTATATTGTATATAGATATATGGTCCTGCCTACCTTCCAGCGAGTGGCTTCTGATCCTTTCTCTGCCTCCCCTCCCCATAGGCTGACCCCTAGCCCCAGGCTTTCTGCACAGGGAGGAGGGACCTGCTGGCTTCGAGGGTGCTCTAAGCCTGGCCCTTCCATGGCCCCTCCCTGTGATCTGATAGGAGGCTGGGGAAGCCCCCTCTCTGGGACCTTCTCAGTTCCATGGGCCAGGCCCCTCCTGCTGACCACAATCCCAGCCCTGCAGGAAGGTCCTGCTTCTCTCCCGAGCCTTGTACGGTCAAAGCAAGGCAGCAGCCTTAGGCACCAGCCACCAAGGCAGGCCGCCCAGGTGGGAGGAGCCTGGTGAGCGTGGGACGGGACTGGTCTTGCACCCCAGCATCGCCACTCGGAACTGTGGTCTCTGGGCAGGACGGCCTTCCCAGGCCTTCCCCGAGAGACAGGTTAACAAAGATGCCACTTCACAGAGATGAGTGGAGACCATCAGGTTGCAGCTGCACCCAAATGGGAGCTGCTGCTGCATGCACTGGGGGCCTCCGCAGAACCCGTCGCCTCACACCCCACGTTCCTGCACCCCACTCCTCTCACCTGTGCCGGTGTTGACTTTGCCCCCCAGTGGCACCCCCTCCCTTCCTCACTGCCTTCTGTGCTCACAAAAGCTCTAGAGTGGTGCCTATGAAGAAGGAACAATGATGAGTGCGTTTGACAGATGAGGAAAGGGAGACTGAGAAACGCTCAGTGCTCTGTCTGGTCTCACAGGTAGCAAATGGCACGTCGGGGCTTGAACCCACATCCATCTCTGCTGGCAGTTCATGCCTTTACCACTTGGCTCTGCTACCTTCCCTCCAGTGATGGAGTCTGACGGCTCATCAAGGCCTCTCACCCCACGGCCACCTTGGTGTCTCTGCTCCACGGATTCCTGGGACCTCCGCCTCTGGGTTTGGGGGATGGCAAAGCTGCCAGAGGTCCAGGAGGATGCTCCAGGGATGATGGTCCCGGAGGCAGGGACCAGCCCCCTGGGAGATGATGTAGGACTCTTAACACTTAGGGCCCCTGCTCCGAGGGCAGGCGCCACCTAGACAAGAGAAAAAATAAGGTAAGCAGGGAAGAGGATTACCTTTGACACAGCCTCTCCTGGTAACTGGGGCTCCTGGAACAGCAACAGCCAAGAGGGGACGTATTTAAGGACCCTCCTTCCTGCCCACTGAGCCCTTGGAGTTCCTGCCCAGGAAGTTTGCGTGACAAGAAAAAAAAAATATTCAAATGTGGGGTGTGGCATCCTCTGGACCTCTGCTCCCTACAGCCCTGGTTTTGGGGATTAGGTCCCGGGCTGTCTGCTTTTGTTCGCTTCTGAAATGCCAGAATGTTTCTGAAGGCTTGGGCAGGGCACACATCTGATCTTCAAAACAGTCTGTGTTCGCCCTGGGCATGGGGGCCGCTGATTGATTCAGCCTGGCGTGGAGCTCTTCCAGCTTTCCAGACTTGCCACTGCCAGATGCGATTCTCCGAGTTCTCTGGTTACATAAGATCGGCAGGGGTCAGCCACGAGCCACAGTGAGAGCATGGCCCCCTCCCAGCCAGTGCTGCCCCGGGCCCTTCACATCCCCCAGTGTGCACGGGGCCCCACTGAGGCAGAGACCCTAGCCCTGGGGCACCACAGGCTGGGGGCTTATTTTTTTTTTTTTTTTTTTTTGAGACGGAGTCTCGCTCTGTCACCCAAACTGGAGTGCAGTGGCCGGATCTCAGCTCACTGCAAGCTTCGCCTTTCGGGTTCACACCATTCTCCTGCCTCAGCCTCCCGAGTAGCTGGAACTATAGGCGCCGCCACCTCGCCCGGCTAGTTTTTTTTGTTTGTTTGTTTTGTTTTTTTTTTGTATTTTTTAGTAGAGACGGGGTTTCACCGGGTTAGCCGGATGGTCTCGATCTCCTGACCTTGTGATCCGCCCATCTCGGCCTCCCAAAGTGCTGGGATTACAGGCTTGAGCCACCGCGCCCGGCTGGCTGGGAGCTTTTGATGGGTGTCTCCAATCCATAAATCTGCCCTCTCGTTGAATAGCTGAGAAGAGGGCCAAGGAGGGTGAGAACTCTGTGTGGTCACCGAAAACCAGAGATGCTTGGGAAGGAAGGAGTCTGGAAAAGCCCTTCCCACGCCCTCTGATCAATGTTTGCTGGGTTCCTGCTCTGCACCACGCTGTGGGGAGGAGGCAGGTGTGGAACAGACTCTCAGCCCCTCTCACCAGGCACTTCCCGCCACCCTCACCTGCCCGCAGGCTGCTTACCAGCATGGGGTCCCTGCTTCCCATTTCATTCGAGGCAAACACAAGGTCCCCGTCATGGCCTATGAGTCCTGAGGATGTGCTCTGGCCCTCCTGCTTCCCTCCACCTGGAGCCCTTTTCCCCTCCATCCACCCACGCAGCTCTCCTCCAATGTGCTGTGGAAAATAGCGCAATGCTGTCCTCTTCCTCCATTATTTTTTCTCTGGAGCATTTATATCTTGTTTGCTACCTGTCCCTTAACTCCTGGCTGCTAGAATTTGGTTCATTCACTGCTGTGATCTCCATACAGCATCTATAGTAGATGCTCAATAAATCTTTATTGACTGACAGAATAAACAGGAAATTTCAAAATCATGTGAACACGGTAAGGACCAGGTAGTCAGAGGATGCTAGCGGGGCTGGGGTGAGAGTCCGTGAGAGGGGTCATCATCTGAGCTGAGTGAGAAGCATTTGGGCAAGGAAGAGCAAGGGGGCTGGAAGAGCAGAAGAAAGGCACAGAGGCAGGGAACACTATGTCACCAGAAGGTGCGATGTGTCCACTGTTGCCAGCGGGAGGTGTGGAGGTGAATGACACTCCTGGGGTGGAGGCTCACAGAGGTCTGTAGTCCAGGCCGGCTGTGGGGGTGCGGGGCACTGAGGAGCTTATCAGACAGACAAATGTCTGTTATTTTTTGGTTTAGAGAACCCCTTGGACAGGGCACAGTGTGAGACAGGTCTAACTCAAAAGCCGCAGCTTCCAGCAGTGCAGGCAAGAAATGACGAGACCCCCAAATAAGAATGGGAAACATTCCAGAAACAGCAGAAGGAAGCATCTGCAGGACCTCGCACCTGGTGGGGGGGCCTGGACTGGGTGGTAGGTGCAAAGTGGGGTGCCTCCTGAGAGGGGGAAGAACAGGCAGGGCCCAGGCCGGTGCCAGCCTCTCCCCTTTTCTGGTGGCAGCAGCTGATTATCTTTGCAGGCAACCCCTTCCTACTTGGTGAGATGGCCAGCCAGGTGCCTGCTCCAGGCCAGCCATGGGTTGGGGTGGGCTCCCCATGAGGCCTCCCCAACTCCCCTGGGAATTTGGATCCTGAGTAGAAGGCAGAATGCAAGGCCGAAGGCCATTCGGAGCTGGCTCATCATGGCAGCGGCCCTCCCCTGGGAGAACCATGGAATCAACTAGCAAAAGCCAGCAACGCAGCAGTGAGTACACCAAGTGACCAGAACAGTGCCTGGCGGGCCGAGGGCATCTTGGAAAGGTTAGGCGGCGTGGGTGTCGTCGAAAGTGGCAGCAGTAGCGGTGGGAGCGTCAGAGCAAGGAGCCTAGAAGCAGTTCAAATCTACAAAGAACAAAATCCTTGTTTGCGTGTTTGGGTTTTGGTTATAGTTTCAGTAGTGGCAAAAGTGTGGGTTGTGATAGAAACTTACAGATACTTGCTTTTCGGATTTTTTTTTTTTTTTTTTTTTTTTTTTTTTGAGACAGGGTGTTGCTCTGTTGCCCAGGTAGAGTGCAGTGGTGCCATCATGGCTCACTGCGACTTTGAATTCCGGTGCTCAAGCGATCCTCCCACCTTGTGACTACAGGAACGTGCCACCATGCCTGGCTAATTTTAAAATTTTTTGTAGAGATGGGTCTCATTATGTTGCCCAGGCTGGTCTCAAACTCCTGGGCTCAGTTGATCTTCCCGCCTCAGCCTCCCAAAGTGCTAGGATTGCAAGCATGATTTAATCTTTGCAAGTCCTAATACTCCATCCCCAATGCCTCATCCTTGCCTGGGCTGTCACTCTCTCTCTCTCTCCCAGGCCACTGTTTTTGCCCTCTGCCTACACTTCATGAGTCCAGGCTCAGCTGCCTTCTCCAAGTGGCTGCCAGAGAGACGTGCGGACGATGAGGACCTGAGCATGTCTCTCCCCTGATTCACATCCTTGGGTGGCGCCCCCTTGCTGTCGGGAAGCTTCCTCCCACCGCCTGTGAGCCCCTGAGGGGCCTGGCTCCTGGTTGCCTCACCGGCCTCACTTCGCACCACTTCCCACCATTCTCACTGCACTGCAGTCCACTGGCATTCCTTCACTGACCCAGGCAATTTCCTACCACAGGGCCTTTGCACATGCTGTTCTTGCTCCTTGGGACACTATCTTCCACTCTGCACCAGACTCTTATCCATGTTCAGATCTCAGCTTCCCTGACCTCTCCCACCCCCCCAAATAAAACCTTCCTTGCTTCCAGGAACCTGTCACAACCTGCGAGCATATCTTTGCTTATGTGACTATGTGTTGATTGTTTTTCTTCTCTCCTTGTCCCCCCCCACCATGGACTGGAATGTCCACAAAGGCAGAGATCTCAACTTTTGTTCAGTACCATATCCTGGCGCAAGGGAGACCTCCTAAGATATGGAAGCAGTCCACTATGCCAAACCATCTCTTGGACAGAAAAGCAATCATTTAGCAAGACGATTTTCAGCAAATTCACCCAAAGCTAGCAAAAAAAAGCGTTGAATGAATGAATGAATGAAAAGCGAGTTTGCTTAAATTTCAAGGAATGTTTAGATTAGAAATAGTTTTTGGGAGGGGAAACCACTTCTTTTATATGAGTAGAAGGAGCCTGGGCATCATAGAGAGACCCATCTCTACAAAAAATAAAAAATTAGCCGGGCAGCTGGGCGCTGTGGTTCACGCCTGCAATCCCGGCACTTTGGGAGGCTAAGGTGGGTGGATCACTTGAGCTCAGGAGTTCGAGACCAGCCTGAACAACATGGCAAAACCCCATCTCTACTAAAATACAAAAATTAGCTGGCCATGGTGGCGCATGCCTGTAATCCCAGCTACTCAGGAGGCTGAGGCAGGAGAATCACTTGAACCTGGGAGGCGGAGGTTGCTGTGAGCCGAGATCCTGCCACTGCACTCCAACCTGGACGAGGGCAGAGCGAGACTCCATCTCAAAAAAAAAAAAAAAATTAGCTGGGCATGGTGGCATGCACCCAGTTACTTGTGAGGCTGAGGTGGGAGGATTGCTTGAGCCCAGGAGGTCAAGGCTTCAGTGAGCTGTAATCGTGCCAGTGCACTCCAGCCTGGGGGACAGAATGGTAGACCCTGTCTCAAAAAAAAAAAAAAAAAAAAAGAGTAGAAAGGAGAAAATTAGACAGCGGGTCTCAGGGATCTCCCCATTGGTTAAAAGCGTTATGCCTCAGGAAGACAAATACCACGTGTTCTCCCTCACGTGTGTGAGCCAAACAGGTGAATCTCATGAAGATAGAGAATAGATTGGTAGTTATCAGGGCTGGGAAGGGTGGGGAGGTGGGGGAAGGAAGAGAGCTTGCTTAATGGGTACAAATATATACTTAGATAGAAGGAATACGACTTAGTGTTCAGCCAGGCACGGTGGCTCACACCTGTAATCCCAGCACTTTGGGAGGACGAGGCGGGCAGATCACCTGAGGTCAGGAGTTCGAGCCCAGCCTGGGAGACCAAGCAAGGCCCTATCTCTACAAAAAATGTGAAACTCCTGTGGGCATGGTGGCGCACACATGTAGTCCCAGCTACTCGGGAAAGCTGAGGTGGGAGGATCTCTTGAGCCCAGGAGTTGAAGGCCACAGAGAGCTGTAATCCAGTCACCGTGCCCAGCCAAGGGCAGTCAGTCAACTACTGTTACAGAGCCCCTCTTTGGAGAGGCACGAAGTCAGCTGAACTGGCTGTGCCCGGGACACTTTCCCCCACTGTGTCCGCACCTCCTGGGGACTTGCAGGAAAGGACTTCTGGGGCTTCTTCATCTCCTTATCTGCCGCTAGTCATAGTGCCTTGGGTCAGAGAAGCTGCAGGTT